AAAAAAAAAAAAAAAACATAGTAGATGCTCAGATGGTGTCCTGAGAATGAAGGTATGAGTAATTGAGTGTAAAAGAACAAGGGAATGTGTGAGTGAATGAATGGAAGTAAACATATGCGTACATGAATAATCAAGTGAATGAATGAATGAATGAATGAATGAATGCAGGAATGTCATTCTCTCCTATTCTCCAAGCTAAAGACTCCAGTTCCTTCTGGGGGCCCCCTGGGTTTGGCGTGGCAGAATAAAGGAAGTTCTGAGATAAATAGAAGGGGGACAGGAGGAAGGAACAAAGAAAGGGGGCGGTGATACCAGCAAGACAGGAAGTGGAGGTGACATCAACATGGCCCCAAGGCCAGGGCCCCTCAGAACTACAGCCCTCTGTGCAGAGACCAGGCAAAGAAAGCGGTGGGAAGCCAGCTCGACAGACGCAGGCGGTGGGGACTGGGTGGGGCTGGAGGGCTGCCAGCAAGCCATGGAGGCCACATTAGGGATGCATGAGCGGAGCACTGAACCTGCCCCCCCAATCCTAAACTCCGTCCTGACCAGCGGGCTCACAGGCGCCCTTCCCCCCCACTCTCACCACCTCCGCCTGCTGGGGCGGGAACCCTGGCCCAGGTGCTGGAGCCCTGGACCCAACCTCACACCCGACCCTTGTGGAGGAGGTTACTCACAGCAAGGGCTGGGGCTCCCCCACCCACCCCGGGTCTAAGTGAGTCAGCTCTGGTGGCAGAGGCTGGAAGCTGAGGCTGCAGGCCCTCCCCAGTGCCAGCCTCCCCTATCCTAGTGAGAGGCCCGCCCAGCTCAGCTCAAATCCCAGGATGCTTCAGGCCTCAGCCTGCCCGAGCAAGAGTGTACCAGGCACCAAGAGGCTCGCGGGAGCGGGTCGGGGGTAGAGGCGGATCTGCCTAGAAAGTGCTGGGGTGAGGAGAAGCTAGCCCAGGGGGATCCTAGGAAGTGTAGTCCTTCCCAGGCAGGGAGGCAGGGGAGGGGCGCGGGGGGGGGGGGACTTACCCAAGTGGCGAGACCCTCTTGACCCAACCGCTTGCAGGGTGGAGGCCGGGGGAGTCTGCTGGGAACTTCGGGGAGGCAGCTCCGCGGAGAGGGGCTCAGAGCCGGGCTTGCGAGGTCCCAGAGCAGAGTCTGATGGGGGAGGCGGCGAGAGGCTGCGGGAGGCGCAGGAAGCGGCAGGTAAAGGAACGGGCGGGTGGGAGCGGCCGGGCGAGTTCGCAACGACTCTGGTCCCCTTCCCTCCCGGTACGGGTGGGGCGGCCCCGGCTGCGGCGGCAGCGATCCCAGAGTGCCAGGGCACCGAGCCGGCGCCAGACACCCCGCCCCGCCAGGCGTCAGTCCCAGGGGAGCCTGGCAGAAGCGGAAACGCGGGCGCCTGAGACGCTTGCAGCGTCCACGTGGAGCAGGACAGGCGCCAGGGCGCAAAAGCCGCTGCCTGTTCTTGCTAAGTCAGCCCCTCGCAGTCCTGAAAAGTAATACCTGCTATTGGGTCACACCTTTACTGAGCACCTACTACATGCCAAACACTGAGCTGGGTGCTGGGACCCAGCTTCTGAGCCAGACACACCGTTTTGCCCTGATGAATATTGATAGAAAAAAATTAAAATGGACAGTTGAGAAAAGAACAAAGAAAATGAATGCCATCCGTGATCTCTCGGCTCAGAGAGAATCGCCGTTAGTATTTTAAGGTATGTGCTTCCAGCTGGACTAGAGCTGGGAAATGTGGACCTGCCAGCTGGGGAGACTGAGGCCCCCCCCTCCCTCTCTGAGTGCATCTGCGTATGTTATGTTATAGAGCGTAATATGATGTGATATGAAATGTATGATACAACCACAGGCATAAGTTGCTGGCTGGGAAAGTATGCGTCAGTATTCACGTTTGCGATCCGCGCTCATCGGGACCTGACAGAGGATGACGGTGGTCCCTGAAGGACACCAGATCTGGGGAGGAGGAGTTGGGCAGTAAGAGTGCATTCCACACCAGGATGGGAGGGGTGGGGGGATCAGCCAGGGCCGACCCCTCACAGAGGCTGGTACTTGAACTCCTCCTGTCCCGGCCCCTCCCTGGAGAAAAGGACAGTGTGTCATCCTGCTACTCCTGGAGCCCAAGCAGCAATCCTGTGGGGACCTCTGACCATGTCACATAGATGGGGCACTTTTTCTGTCACTTTGCTTCAGCCATGTTCTCAGAGCACCCTAAGGGTGCAAGAGTCCCAGGGCTGGAATGCTGGGCACCGCACACATGGGGCGTGGCAAGTGTGACACGGCCACATGGACAAGTGACCTGGGCCTATCACTGGCTCAGCTAGCACCATTAATGCAAGAGCCTCAGCTCAGCAGAGGCCCCCGGTGTCAACAACAGCAAGTAACATCTGAGATTGCTTTTTGAATGCAGTGAGACACATGTGGGGACACCCTGAAGTATAAAGGACAGTGGACTTTGCAGGGAAGGAGAATTCCCACACTGGCAGGATGGCTCTGGGCTGGCATAAACCGTGGTTTGATTTTTTTTTTAATTTTTTTTTAATGTTTTATTCATTTCTAGGAGAGAGAGAGAGAGAGACAGCGTGAGCAGGGGAGGGTCAGAGAGAGAGGGAGTCACAGACTGAAACAGGCTCCAGGCTCCGAGCTGGCAGTCAGCACAGAGCCCGATGCGGGGTTGAACTCATGAACCACGAGATCATGACCTAAGCGAAAGTCGGTCGCCCGACCGACTAAGCCACCCAGGCGCCCCAACCGTGGTTTGATTTTAATGTGACACTCTTTATAATCAAATGGTGAATGCTATTTGAAGATATTCAAGTTATCTAACCAAAAAAAAAAAAAAGTGACCAGGAGCACCTGCCTGGCTCAGTGGGTTGAGTATCCCACTTCAGCTCAGGTCATGATCTCATGGTTTGTGGGTTCGGGCCCTGCATCAGGCTCTGTGCTGACAGCTCAGAGCCTGGATCCTGCTTCGGTTTCTGTCTCTGTCTCTCTATGCCCAACCCCTGCTCACGTACTGTCTCTCTCTCTCTCTCTCTCTCTCTCTCAAATATAAATAAACATTTAAAAAATTTTTAATAGGGGCAGCCTGGATGGCTCAGTCAGTTAAGCATTCAACTTCGGCTCAGGTCATGATCTCACGGCTTGTGAGTTCGAGCCCCACGTTGGGCTCTGTGCTGACAGCTTGGAGCCTGGAGCCTGCTTCAGATTCTGTGTGTGTCTCTCTCTCCCTGCCCCCTCCAGTGACGCTCTGTCTCTCTCTCCCTCCCTCAAAAGTAAGTAAATTTTAAATTTGTTTAAATTTTTAATAAATAAATTAATTAAATTTAAAAAGTGACTATATTGGACATACTGTTTTGTACTCTGCTTTTTTTTCTCTCTCAACAATTATCATAAATATCTTTCCATAATTTTCATTGTTATATAGTATTTCTCTTTATGGGTCTACTTGAATTTATTTCTTTTTGTCTTATACCTTTATTGAGATATCATTGCATACATTGCACATATTTAAGGTACATAACTTGATATGTTTTGACATACATATTGTGTATACATGTATATACACACATATACCCATGAAAGCATCACAGTCGAGGTAATGAACAATCGTCACCCCCAAAACTTCCTATAGCCCTTTGTAACCCCTCCCCCTGCCCAACACTGTCCCTTCCCCCACATCCCAGGCAAACAAGAATCTGCCTCTGTCACTCTTGATTAGATTGCATTTCTAGAAGGCTATATAAATGGAATCATACAGTATGAATTCTTTTTTGTCTGGCCTCATTCACTCAGCATAATTATTTTGCAATTCATATGTATGTTGCATACACCAATAATTTGTCCCTTTTTATTGCTGAGTAGGATGCCATTTTATGGTTATAGCACAATTTGATTATTCATCCACTTATTGACAGAGTTTGGATTGTTTCTATTTGCTGGCTATTACATAAATAAAGCTGGTATGAGCATTCATCTTCAAGTCCAGGTGTGGACATATACTGTCATTTCTCTTAGGTAAATACCTCGGAGTGGAATGGCCAACTCATATGACAGATGTATGTTTAACATTTTTTAAGCTGCCAAAAGCTTTCCCCAATGATGGCATCGTTCCACATTCCCATGAGCAGCAAGTGAGAGTCCCAGCTCCATCTCATGCTCACAGCACTTGGTCAGTCAGTTGAATCTTAATCATTTCAGTGGATTCACACTGCTTTATCATAGCGGGTTTCATTTATATTTTCCCATCCATTAATGTTGTTAAGCATCCTTTTTGTATACTGACTTACTGATCTGTGTACCTCCCTTGGTAAAATATCTATTCAAATCTTTCCCCATTAAAGAAATTGGATTGATTACCTTATTATTGAATGATAAGAGTTCTTTTATTTATTTATTTATTTATTTATTTATTTATTTATTTATTTTTGAGAAACAGAGACATAGAGCGCAAGCAAACGAGGAGCAGAGAGAGAGAGAGACACACAGCATCCAAAGCAGGCTCCAGGCTCTGAGCTGTCAGCACAGAGCCTGAAGTGGGGCTTGAACTCACAAACAGTGAGATCATGACATGACCCTAAGTCTGACGCTCAACCAACTGAGCCACCCAGGCGCCCCGATAAGAGTTCTTTATAGATGAATTCAAAACAGGCTCTCCAAGATATATTTGTACAACCCTATGTTCACAGCAGCACTGTTCACAATAGGCAAAAAGTAGAAACAACCCAAATGTCCATTGACCAATGAATGAATAAGCAAAATATGGTACATGCATACAATGGAATATATTCAGCCTTAAAAAGGAAGGAAATTCTGACATATGCTAGAACATAGATGAACCTTGAGGACATTATGCTAAGTGCAAGAAGTCAATCACAAAAAGACAAATACTGTATGAGCCCACTATGTGAGGTAACTATAGAATAATTAAATTCATAGAAACAAAGTAGAATGGCAGTTGCCAGGGTCACCTGGGTGGTTCAGTTGGTTAAGTGTCCAACTTTGGTTCAGGTCATGATCTCACAGTTCATGTGTTCGAGCCCCACGTCGAGGCTGACACCACAGAGCCCGGAGTCTGCTTTGGATTCTGTGTCTACCTCTCTCTTTGCCCCTCCCCCACTCATGCTGTCTCTCTCTCTCTCTCTCTCTCTCTCAAAAAAAAAAAAATCTTTGCCAACTCCAAAGTGGCTAAGATTTTCTTTTATGCTTTCTTCTAGAAGTTTTATGGTTTTAGCTTTTACATTTAAAAAAAGTTTTTTTGTAGTTTATTTATTTTGAGACACAGAGTAAGCAAGCTGTGGAGGAGCAGGGAGAGAGGGAGAGAAAGTCTCAAGCAGTCTCTGCACTATGAGCATGGAGTCTGACTCAGGGCTCGAATCCAAGAACCAACAATGAGATCAAGAATTGGACAATTAACAGACTGAGCCACACTGGTGCCCCATGCTTTTACATTTAGACTATAATCTATTCCAAGTTAATTTTCATATTTGGTCTGAGTTAAAGATAGAGGTTCTTTTTTTTTTTTTAATATGTCTCTATCCAGTTGTTCCAGCACCATTTGTTAAAAAAATTATAATTCTACCCATTGAATTGCCTTGGCACCTTTGTCAAGTCAATTGGTTATATGTGTGGGGACCTATCTGTGGACTCTCTACTTTGTTCTGTTGATCTACATGTCTGTCTTTAGGTCAATACTAGATTTTCCTGATGACTCTCACATAGAAGTCTGGTAACCAAATCACCTAAGTCCTACTAGTTGTTCTTTTTCAAACTAGGTTGGCTGTTCTGAGTCCTTCGCATTTGCATTTAAATTTTAGAGTCTGTTTTCCATTTCTGAAAATAAAATAAAATAAAGCTTGCTTGGATTTTGATAGGGATGGTGACATATCCCTCAATTTGGAAAGAATTGACATTAATAATATTGAGTCTTTTGATCCATGAACATGGTATATCTCTCCATCTATTTAGGCTTTCATTAATTTCTCTGCAATATTTTGTAGTTTTCAGCTATAAGTCTTGCACATCTTCTGTGAAAGTTATTACTAAGTATTTCACATATTTATACTATTAAAAATGGACTCTAAAATTTCAGGGGCTGCTGGCCGGCTCAGTTGGTGGAGCATGTGACTCTTAATCTCAGAGAGTCATGGGTTTGAGCCTCATATTGAAGGTAGAGATTAGTTAAAAATAAATAAAAAGTTGGGGTGCCTGGGTGGCAGTTGGTTGAGCATCCAACTCTTGATTTCAGATCAGGTCATGATCTCATGTTCATGATTTTGAGCACCAAGTCAGGCCCTGCACTGGCAGTGCGGAGACTACTTGGGATCCTCTCTCTTCCTCTCTCTCTGCCCCTTCCCTGTTCACACTCTTGATCTCTTTCTCTTTCAGAAATAAACAAATTAACCTAAAAATAAATAAATAAAATTTTCAATTTCAATCAGAATATTGCCCGTACGTAGAAATCAATTGGTTTTTAAATAGTAAGTATATCCTGAAACTTAGTAAACTCACTTTCAAGACCATTTTGTAGACTCTTTAAAATTTTCTGGGGCGCCTGGCTGGCTCAGTTGGTAGAACGTGTGACTCTTGATCTCAGGGCTGTGAATTCAAGCTCCCACATTGGTGTGACGATGGCTTAAAAATAAAATCTTAAATTTTTTTTTCCTAAAAAATGATTATGTTGTCTGTAAATAAAGATAGTTTTACCTTTTTATTTTCAACTTCAATGCCTTTATTTTTTTGTCTTGCCTAATTGCTCTGACTAGAAACTCCCTGCACAACTTTAAATACAAATGGGTAAGATCTTGACATCCTTCCTTGCTCTTAATTTAGGGACAAGGCATCCAATTTTCACCATAAAGTGTTAACTTTAGGACATTAGGGTTTTTGTAAAAAGTCTTTTACCAGATTAAAGTTCTCTTCCCTCTATTTCTAGCTTGCTGCAAGTTTTTCTCAGG